AAACATCAAACCGCTCTTAATGCCAGTAGGAGTGATCATAGACCGGTTGACCTTATTAAAAAAGGCTTTAAGAAAATTTTTAGCAACCCAAACAACTCTCAACTCAATTGCCCATTCTCTGAAGGATTTATTTTAATAAGTGGATGTAATATCATTCTTTTCAAAGCTCATTACTTTCATTACAAACATGCATATTATTTGATAGCGAAACTTTGGCCTTAACAACCTCTAAGCTAATCTAAACACTCTTGTTGAAATGTACACTGGTGAAATATAATTGTTGGAAAGTGTAGTATTCCGATCTGACGGGTCAATCTTACCTTTACGTCTCCATTCCGATTCACCTTTTATGACAATTTACCCTTTCCTCCCTGATGAGTCACTCTCCAGCCCTCTGTGTATTTGAGTAAGTGATCTGTGACCTGAGAAGATATATGCCCTACACATTTACTCCATTGATACAGTTTGTTCTTCATACCAAAAAGTGATTCTTTACTAAACAGACGTCTTATCTTTGCTTCATTGTTAGAAGTAGTACCAAGTCCAAGGATATTTGCATAAAGCTTCCATTTTCACATCGAGATATCATGAAAGGATTGTTATCTCGGTCAAATTCTTAAACGTTTGCACTGTGACACACCTCCCACACTTCATAAACACAGCGTGTGTCTCTGCTGATGAATACTAGGGATGACAAAATGGTCATTACAGAGCGACTGAAACACCATTCTCAATGAAAACAAATTTGGGGAACTTGAGTGCAATGACTGAAATATCACGAGTTTGAACGTCAGTTTCTACAACTTTGCACACAGCATATTGAGAGGATGAGTGATTTTCTATGACATGCACTACGGCTAAATTTGAGGCGAGTTTAGAAAAAGTGATAAATTCAAGAGACCATGTCAAATGTAATGAGTACCACAATGTACCTCAAACCAATATTTCCCTCTAAAGTGAATTTTTGATTAGTTGGAGTGCTTTATTCCTGTGAAGTCAATAAGCAATCTCTATTTTGTGAACTTAATTTTGTTAACTCAGATTATCGGCTAAGTGGAGTTAATCGGAGTGCAGCTACCGCGAGGGTTGAGTCAAGAGTTATGGCAGACATATTGGGCGCAATGATTGAAAATTCAGAGAGAAAGGAACAATGTAAGGACAAGAGCTCACTGCAAGTGGACCAATGAAAATGTAGGATTTTGGGTGGAGACTGGCAACCAATGTCTCCCTCATCGAGTTTTACCAATGACATTTGGCTAGTTTTCAAAGGTGAAATGTGGGCTATCTGGTTTTGAATGAAAATTAATTGCGGATAAAAACTCTTCAATTATGTTAAGACAGTGTATAAATTTGCTCAAATTCCCAAGTAAATAATTTATGAAACAAGAAAATATCGCCAAAAATCGTTCTTATGAATCATACTTGATTTTAAGGAAATGATTGATTATGAAAAGAAGACATTTAGCTTACGGTATGAAAGTATATTCGATGTACTTAAGTTTCATAGAAGTTCTTCATTGTTCTTCCACATGAATCCACACAAAATACGGTGTATTAAACTCAACCAGAGTAATAAAATCGGCATTTTTTAAAAATATCTTAGGCTTATCAGTCAACACCATTAAGCATTAAAAATTAGTCAAATAAAATCCATGATTTTTCAGTCATATGTGTAGCGGATTGCTATCTTAGTAAAGCATGACCGACTCAGAAATCTCTATGGCAGATTCTCCGACATCTAGCTAGACTCCCAGAAAAAGCTAAGCTATAGCCCAGCTATAAAGGAAACAGACGTATAGCACGGAGCACGTTTATTCAGTACGGTTATTGTGAGCAAAGTGTACACGCAGGGAGCTACTCATGACCAGGATGGGGGATTAGATTAAACAAACATAGGTTAATGATTGGTCACTGTTTGTACGATCGCAGCACACAGAGTTGTACGGCCGCACCTCCCAATCCTGGTATGCTTGACGCACAAAGCGATAACGTGTCCCCAAGGCCTTGCTACCTATTGAAATTTGCAAATCTGTGGCCCTAATTATTCCGAAGTTAAGGGGACGTTGGATTCGCCTGATTCATGGACTCCCCTGATGATTGGTTGAAACTTTTTTAATGCTGTCACTTGAAAAAATATAAAACAAGCAGTTTATGACTTATTTCGTCGATAATGGCCATAATTCGACATGGGACAATTAGTTCTAATAAATTATATTTTTTAAATTTTGTAACATTAAAACCTCGTTATACAAAATACCAAATTTCGGGTTTTAATTTTAAAAATTAATATGAAATATGTTTATTTGGTAAAATATATAAAGTAAATACAGGATTCATGGCTTACCTGGAGAGGGAATAAACGTTATGCTTATTTGAAAACTAGTGCTTGTTATGACTATTGTTTTGGTACCCAATAAGCCATTCTATTAATGTAAAACGTAGTTGGGATAAGAGTGTAATAAAATGACCTTGAAATCTTTACCACTAAATTTCTACTAAGTTCGATTTTGTGTAAAGAACTTCCCGAATTAGTAAGCCCGGGTGCATAAAATTTGACCGTCTCTCGATCTTTGCGCAATGTGTGAAAAGATGGAGAATTTGTCATTTCATAGTATTCAGTCAATTTTGTCTGTATTTTATTTTCTCATTAATAAGAAAATCATCCGGTAAGCATGATGTTAACTTCATCCCAGTGATTTAAATATGGACAACACATAAATTCTTGTTTATTAACTCAATTACAAATATTTGCTTCGAACTCGACTGTGTATTACAGCTGTTTATGAATATTAAATCGTAATAAATCACCAATTTTATGAAAAGAATACCTATATATTGGTTGGAAATTTGTAAATGGACAGCCTGTAGCGGATTGCTACCTTAGTAAAGCCTGACTGACTCAGAAATCTCTATGGCAGATTCTCCAACATCTAGCTGGACTCCTAGAAAAAGCTAAGCAATAGCCCAGCAATAAAGGAAACAGACGTGTAGCACGGAGCACGTCTATTCAGGACGTATATTGAGGATCAAGTGTACACGTAGGGGGCCTAATCATAATCAGGATGGCTGATTAGGTTAAACAGAGGTTGATGATTGTTCACTGTTTGTACGGCCGCACCTCCCAATCCTTGCGAGAAGACATGCAGGCATACGATGGCGCACACAGAGATAACGTGTCCCATAGCCTGCTAAAATTGACAGTCTTCAAATTTCTACCTATCTTCAAGTACGTATCAAGTTAACATAGTAACATTGAAGATCACTGAATCAAATAAACAGACTAGACAAAAGACGCTATTGCAATATTTAGATTTTCACAATCAGCACCCATTGTTCAAAATAATGCACGTTAAATATTAGTATATATTCACGCACAATTCGGTGCGAGTAATTAAATTGCCAAATTCTCTTTTAATTAAGCACAGTTAATTTGATATTTCAAATAAAATACTAAGAAAATTAAAAAATAAAAAAATTAATAAAGATCTATTCATGGTAATATCTATCGACTTAAAGCACTTTACCTTGGAAAGCTCAACCACTTAGAGATCAATAAAAGAAAAAAACGATGGCGGCGATTTTTTATTATTTTAGTGAATAAATAGAATCCTTTACTACATGAGATTATCATAAAATGTGAATGCCTCGTTTTCCGTTAATATCCTGTTCAATTAGAACAGAAATGAATTAAGACGTTTAACCAAATTGGAAAATAAAGTGTTTTGATTAATTTTCTATCCCCACATGCTCGTAAGATATTGTTTTGTTAATCGCTTAAAAGCGGATGGATTACTGATTAATACTTGCATCAAATACAATGCATTTCGAAATAAACTTATTAAAAAAGCAAGATCTTTTAATTGAAAATCTTTACAACAATCCAATTTTCAAGAATTCCTTTATCCGGTCATCAGTAATTATTAAATATACTTTTTAAAAAAACAAATAGATGGAGCAAATATATGGAGCAAATAGATGGGAAATACATTAGTTTTAAGGAAAATAGACAATTCACATAGTAATTTTGAAGCATTACAACAAAAGCCTATCATTGTGCTATTTGTTAACCGTGTTATTTTTGGCAGACAGTTCATGATAAAACTTTGTAAACGCCTATTTATATGACCCCAATATAATCACCTAAAACTTTTGGCTTATAGAATTGAGGTGTTTTATTATGATTTTTTATGAAGATCTAATGTCCAAACCCTTAGAAAAGTATTAAGATGAATGAAAATAAAAAATTAACAATATTGAAGAATATTTACCAGCTCAAAACTTGTAGTAACAGTACATTTGAAGAGATTTTATTTATCAAATAATTTATCTCTTATTTGAGACGTTGTCACATTTTTCTCGAGAATAAAAGCTGAGAAAATATATTTACAAGGTTATTTGAATGAAAAAATTAGTAATTCATTGAAATTCATTCTTATGCATGTTTGAAAAATTAGTTCTGTTACTCTAATTTTTCATCATTCACAAATATTGGAACTCTATTTGTATTCTAACATAATGTCGTACTAAACGTGATTATCATCTCTTCTTGCACCTAACACTATTCCTATATCTCTGTAAGAATAAGCAACTTGAAAATGCAGAATAGTCGGACAAATCGAATATTTTAAAATGAAAATTGACAGGCTAGATAAATATTTAAAATATATCAAAAAATTAATAATCCAGAGTGCTGTTACTTTTAGCAATGATACTAAATGATGCAAAATGAAGAGTTGGAATAATGATCTATTGAAAAATGTGTATTTAAATCTATTCAATAAATTCCAATTTTGGCATTACTTTTATCGAAATTGTAATAAAATAAATTATTAATTATAATAAATTTATATTGAAAGATAGAGTTAGGCATGCTTGAAAAAATTTCCATTTCGATTTGTTAGTTTAAGTCACTCATCTGTGCATAACCGCACTTACTTTGAACTAATCGTGTCTCGTAAGTGTTGTCGCTAATTCTAGATCTTTTAGTTTAGATATTAAGCATGAATGCGCCCCCAGCTGGACAACGAGGTGGATTCAGAGGAGGTTTTGGTGGACGAGGCCGCGGTCGCGGTGGTCGTCGTGGACGGGGTGGGCGTGGACGTCCTGGAAAGGATGCTGAATGGAAGCCCGTTACACTTCTTGGCCGATTGGTAAAGGACAAGAAGATCACCACTTTGGAGGAGATCTATATGTACAGTCTTCCAATTAAGGAAGCTGAAATTGTCGATACTATCCTCGGGAATCAAGCCCTTAAGGACGAAGTTCTCAAGATCATGCCTGTTCAGAAACAAACTTGTGCAGGTCAGCGCACTCGCTTTAAGGCTATTGTTGCTATGGGAGATTACAATGGACATGTTGGTCTCGGAGTTAAGTGTGCCAAGGAAGTTGCCACGGCAATCCGCGGTGCTATTATCCAAGCCAAGCTCTCTATCATCCCTGTTCGTAAAGGCTATTGGGGTAACAAACTCGGTAAGCCTCACACTGTTCCATGCAAAGTCACTGGCAAGTGTGGATCTGTTTTGGTGCGTCTCATTCCTGCTCCAAGAGGAACTGGTATTGTTAGTGCTCCCGTTCCAAAGAAGCTTCTTTCTATGGCTGGCATTGAGGACGTCTACACTAGTGCTCGTGGTCAGACATCCACACTTGGTAACTTCGCCAAGGCTACCTATGATGCTATCCGTAAGACCTATGAATACCTCACCCCGGATCTGTGGTCTGTCAATTCCACCATAAAACATCCCTATGTTGAACACGGAGCTTATCTTCAAAGTATGGCAAAAGCCAACTAAATATAATAAATGAATTGTAATATGGGCTTAATGTCTTTTGTATTTATTTTTTGCTCTCCTTTGGACTCAGTTTCATTATTTTACATGCAACGCTTTTCGTGTTTCTAGCGATGTTATTTTATGGCGTTTACCTGAGATTTGATGTGTTTTTCCTACCACTGTCTTATAACGAGAAGCTACTGTCAGTTGTCTTGAAGGTAGTGCTTTTTGGATTAAGGAATGCAAGCGTTTTAAACTACTGATGTAGGACTATTAGTTATTTTAAAGTCCGGTGATATTTTAATCTATTGGCTTTCTTGGTCCGTTAATACACCAAACCAAAGGAAAATTCAGGAATTCTTAATTGGTGTAAGGGTTGCCGGCAATTACCTTAAGAAGTCTGCGCGTTTGCTGTGTCTGAGACTAACACGGTAAACTTCTACCCGTTACTTCTTAGGTTAATGTCATTGCTTTTGATTGTCCACTAATTTGCTACAAACTTATGGTTTATACCTGTGTAATGAGGATTTTGTACCTTGGTCTCTAATGTTCATATTTTCTAATTCCTCTAATGCGATGGATTCAGTGAAATGGGGGTGTTCTCAAAATATGTAAACGCTCTTTTATGGGCGTGACACCGTTTTTTATGTATTTTGAAATGCATATATTTCAGTTTCTTTTAAGGAACCTATATCCTCAAAGCTTCTTCGGTGGTTTATGGTGCATGTCTTGCCTGGTCTATAACTATCTACTTATGATTGAGACGCTTCAGATTTGATTATCACATCAGGGAATATTCTTGTTCGTTCGATGTACCACTTGCTTGTTACTTTAGCTTGATTGCCAGGTCCTCTCCGTGGTTAAATTATAAGGGGAGGATGGCTACAAATTTATTTATTCAAATGGCAGGCGTTTTGGTAGTTATCATTTGCCCTGTATCTGACTTCGGGCTGTACAGAGAGGAAGAACATCAGTGACAAAAGTCGAGAGGGAGGACAGAATAATGGTTCGCAGATGTAAAAGAGGTAGGGAAAAGGTAAGATGAGTACTGTGGGAGTGGTCGAACATGACATAGTGTCGAGTCATGGTAGTTTGAAGTAGGAAGTCAACTGCCGGTTTATAGACTATTTTGACGTATACGTTGTCCAGGGTCTGCTACGTGGAGGTAAGTCTATCGCGCATCCCGGTTGGCTGCAAATAAGGAATCGTTTTTATTGACGAAGTGCGCTTAAATACGTTGTGGTTAATGGGAACTGACGGATTAGCCGGTTTCTACTCGCTGGCGTAGGAAATCGTAGTCGGTTCTTAGGTGAACGAGGTATGAAGTTCCATTCGCTACACCAATGTACTATATTCATGTTAAACTAATATTTTTAACAAAGAAAGTCATTGGGGTCGGAATATATTTAGACTATCAATGTGGCGACGGTTAACATGTTCGTTTGGGTATCAGGTTTATGTGTTCAAGGTGAATTGGAGTACAGCAAATGTGAGTTAGGAACGGTCACATTGGATTAGTAGGGCTCATAACTAGAATCCGAGTTTCTCCATTGGTAGGCCCACGTTGTGCTTTCATTAAAAAATGAATTCCTAAATTTGAATTATAGCATGGTAACTAAATGCGTGCCTGCAAATCTCGAACTCTTGAAATTCAATTGCTTGGGCAATAATATTTCATTTCTATTGCACCCGTTAGTGTGTAGCACATTCAAGTAATGGTCTTCGACCTAGAAATGTTCTGATGAGAAACTCTCGCTTTAATGAAGATTTCTACAAAGCGCACGTATTGACTCATTCTTCCTTACTGCCCTTACCGTCTAATAATTATCGGTCTTTAATTACCTATCTAATGAACAACGGTCTCAAGGTATTTTACTGCGTACCATTTTATTTTCACTCGCTTCCGGCTAATGTTATAACATTCAGTTAACATCCTCGGCGTTAAATTCTCAACAGAAGGATATGATTTGTAATTTTGGAAGTCCGGAAACCAAACAGTAGTTCACGGGGAGAGATTCAACTTTCCAAAGACGTCCCCTCCCTTTCTTCTCATAATAACTATCATTGTAGGCAAATGGCCGCGAACAAATAAGCTTCAAATTGATGCCAGTTGACTAGTCAATTAGTTACAGTTTAACCCAAAACTATCGCACAACTACTCATTAATAATAAGTAGAAGTGCTCGAGAAAAAAATACAAATTATAATACAGAATAAAATAGCACAAAGGAATCTCAATTAAGAAAAGTGGGTGGAAGACGTGTAATTGCACTCGTTATGAAAGCAAACTGCGGTTTAAGCACCCAGACTTCTGTGCCATCCTCGTTTCCTCTTCGTACGGGAGGAAAAGCTATTGATCTTAAAAGAGCTCTGAAGTGGCGGCCCGTCAGTTCACCCGGTACCTGACTTCGACCATTCCTCTTTCGAGACGTCAGCAGTTCACTAAACCTATCCGCAATTATGGCTGTACTAGCAGAGGGAGTAGAATAGGATTCTCCTTCAGCGAATAGCATCAAGAGACGATAGGCTACCTTTCGTAGCTCCTTCTCCTCCTTACCAATAGAGCCCCGCTCTTGAAGAGTAATCGGATTCGTTATGACAGTCGAGAGTCCAAGAAAGTTCATGCTTCCTTCTCTGCGTTCACGAATTAATTCTAGCATGGCACTTGAACTCAGACGATTGTGACCAGCAAAGAGTAGATTATTTGTCGCTTCTCCGGGTTTTAGAATGGCCTCCTGTCGTTTGTATGCCAACTGAAATACAAAAACAACAATTACAAGTGATTCAGTTAAAATTTGCAAAATAGTTTCGAATATTACAAAGAGAGGGCAATTTCTTTCGTTGGGAGAGTAAAGGAACCCGTCCTTAACTTGTCCAAAGGTAACACCGTTTATCGGATTTGTGGTGCCTAGAAAAGGAACTTGAAGTCTGGAAGATTTAATTCTATCTTCAAGGGTAATCAACCACTTGATAATAGAATTAGCTAGCCTCGTTGCTTGAATCTTTTCCAATGCTGGATCAACGCGCTTCTCAGACATAAGAAAATCGTTCATCAGAGTGTCATGATTAACCACCGTGACTTCCTTTAACCGCTTCTTTACTGTTGACAGGGCATCTTTAGACCTATGTCTTTTCCTTTTCCTGGGCCTAATTGCTTCTAGAGCAGTTTCCGCAACCTTCTTCGCCTCTTGTTTCATGTATTCATTCACTTCGCTCCTCTTTCGTTTGAAACTCTCCAATTTCTCATCTTGATCAGGTCCACATAACACAGAAGTAACGAAGGGGTCTAGATCCGGTTCTTTCTCTACATTGTCCGATTGTTTTGATTTCTCTTTCTTCTCGGTCTCCCCTTCATCAAACCTCGATCGACGAGCGACTCCATGAATTCTTTTGCCATCTACACGAGTCCCTCGATGTGAATATTTTTCAACCAGCTTTCGACTCAGTCTCTTAGCCTGAGCTCTTAATCGGGCCTTCCTTTCTTCAGAAGTTTCTTCCTTTTCTGATTCGTCTTCATTCACCTCACCAGGGGCCTCTTGATCCTCATCGTCGTCTGAAGTGTTCTCCAGCTCCTTTAACTTGTCTGGGTTCGCTGCAAAAAGGGCATCAAAGCGGTTATCAGAGACTGCGTGCTTGGGGACACCAACAGCATTAAAGAAGGAGACGTGTTTCGTGGGCACTCCACCGTTTGCATCTGAGGGCCGTGAAGCTGCCTCGTCATTCAGCATAAAAAGATCATGAACGGAGTTGAGTTTAAAGAAGCGCTGTTGACGTGGATTTTTCAAGACGCGGTTAGTCAGAAACTGCTTGAAGATTTGTCTAAAAAGGATAAATAAGACAGACTGTTACCAGCGAGAATACACTTTAAAAAGTATCTTAAATATCTAGAGGCTATGGGCCTGACAAACTCCTCTCCTCGAACGATTGACGAAGTGAAGAATCTACAGACTTAACTACCTAGTAGCATCACTCGCCTCTGATAGACCTTTTCTTCAAGAGTTCCAGAAGAGAGGAGACGATAAATGGCCACCTCCCGTTGCTGACCAATACGCCAAGCGCGTTCACGAGCCTGGGCGTCAGTAGAAGGATTCCAGTCGGGATCGTAGATAAGCACTCGATCAGCTCCAGTCAAATTAACACCCAAACCACCAACGCGGGTTGTAAGAAGAAACAAAAAACAATCTGACGATTTGGTGGAGTTGAACTGTTCAACAAGACGATGTCGTTGTCCAGTAGGTGTTGCACCATCCATACGAAGGTATGGATAACCTCGTCGAGATGCATGCTTCTCCAAGATATTCAGCATCTTAATTGAAGGAGAGGGAACCGATATTACAAATATCGACGTAGCTACTATTTATAGCCAAAATTAATATTGGCTTCTCCCAATAAATACCCCCCCCCCCACAACACGTTTATAGCTCTCTTTTGCCTCGATAGGTGAACGCTATAAAACAATTCAGCATTGGTGGTTCCGAAGCCATATCTGCATTATCACATTTATTTCATACTAGGGGTACCAAAATGCCGTTCAATTTGCAATCAGATTTGCCAGTTCAGCTTGTGTCCAAACACTGTTAAAGGTAGCGTATACAACCCTAAAGGAGACAGAGGGCACACCAGACTTTGCACCCTGCATTTTTGGCCTGGGCTTGAACGCCTGCAAGGCTAGTGAAGCCATTACTGAAAGTTATGGCCAAGTGTTAACAGTCCACTGATGCAAATTTTGTTTGTAGAGATAAAAAGTAAGCGATAGAAATTCTAACGATGCACAGAATACACGATAGCCTACAAGAGTTGATGACGCTTTAAAAGCCCTCATTGAATCAGATTGTCGGTTAACTTACTGCAGGAACTTCCATGTCTATGGTCAAGTGTGCAATTACAATTGAAACGGATCGGCAAATCTTAAAGCATGCGAATTTAGGTGTTACCAAATCAAATTTCCTAGTGAAACTGATATAAGGTTAGAAGAATGGGCATTTCTCTGTTGCCAAGGCACATAATTCGTCCTCTTCAAGCCGAGTGGTTACCGCGTACGAGAAGTAGGTGGCTAACGACAGAGTTAATGGGAAAAAAGTAGGGATGTTACCAAAATGAATACTTATTTTATCTTCTAAGTCACACCAAGGTTGGCTCTTTGGTAACTTCTTCTATGCAATCCGTGGAATGAACGTGGAATAATCCATTAGGAATAGGTAAAGAAGGCCAAAGTAAATCGTTATCAACGATGGAGAAAGAGAAATCTAAAAGTGAATAATAAGTAGGCAAGTTTATTGAACAGGGGCAGAGGGGCTAATTTTTTGACGACAAGGACAAAACCCGGCACCATTAAGAAAGAATAACCCCCCAAAACTCAGGAATTGAACTAGGGGGTTCTACCATATCCACCATGTTTAAAAGACTTCAAACCATTCGATTATCAAAATCTCGGGTACGGGAGCCCACTCTAAGAGAGGAACGATTTCAAAATGCTACTGAAGCCTAAAAATACTCGAATAAGTGTGTTAATTCCAAATCAGCAATGTTTTTTTCAAAAAGGGTCGCAAATGATGATGCCTAATTTAAAATAAATAACATATTTTGACTTTACTCCTAAATTGAGCGATTTCGTATATATATCGCTAAAATTTACAAGTGATGGTCACCTAAAATCAAAGGAATATGCACAAAGAAGATTTAAGGGGAAGTAACAACTCACTTTCCGGCTTTGCGTGAATAAAAGGACCTTGTGTTTCTGCTCCCACCAGAGAGCCAGGAGATCGAGCGTGACCACCAGTTTTCCCGATCGTCTGGAACACCCGAAACGTTTCCAATAGTCACCCTCCTCAGCATTATCATCATCCTCCTCCCCCAGGCGGCTTCCAAAGTGCTGTGGACCACCAGTGACAAGATCAGGATGATTGCAAAGCTTTTTGAGAAGAACAAGTCCACCGAGGACATTTCCCATTCCACGCAGAATGTACTGACAAGCTCGTGAATTCAAGTACTCCTCGTATACGCTTCGTTGGTAATGAGTTAGGTGACAGAATAAGACCTGTTCAGACTTTTTCGGCAATTCCAGCTGCACATCCTTTTTCAATCTTCTCAGGAGGTAGGGTGAGAGAATGCGCTTTAGTGTGCAAGCACACCTATACGCAGTTTCAACCTCCAAAGGTGAAGCGTTGGCATAGCCCCCCATAGTTATGGGTACACCAAAATTGACAAGAAAATCCATCATTCCACCACCCAATTTTCCAGGGTAAACAAAATCGAAAATACACCAGAGTTCCTTGAGGTTATTTTGCATTGGTGTACCGGAGACAATAATTCTATGAGGGGTGATAAAACGCTTTACAGTAGCAGTGATCTCAGCCTGAGGATTCTTAACTTTATGACCCTCATCCAGTATGACGTAGTGCCATGGCAGAGGAAGAAGTAGGTCTCGGTGTTGAGCTAGAGTTCCATAGGTTGTTAGGGCGAAACCAGTGGTTTTGAAGAGACTGTTAACCAAACGAGTCTGAAAGAAAAATAGAATACATACTCACGTACACAATTATTAGAAGTAAAGCTTGCACCAGAACTATGTTGTTACTGACGAAAACTATTCTAATTAAAATTAACCAATTCAGCAAATTTAGTACAAAATTACTTTGGAGGCCTCATTGAAAATTTGGCTGATCATTTCATTAACGGACATGGCAATTATTAATATTACTTGGACGAGGTTAGGGATGGATGAAATAAAAGAGTTTAAATCAATTAGAACCCGCGATTGTCAAAGTCAATTGGCATGTTTAACGAGCATCCTCGTTAAAATATATCATCAATACTATTGAACGTTAAAGTAAGTAAAAAAACAGCCACACCTTTATAATTCATGATAAACTGTACTATTCCGTAAATGGTACCCTAACAAGAGATGAGCATATTTTGCAAACGAGAGGGGAAGAAGAGGCATTTATATTTAGGCCAATTTTTCGAAATGACAGGTATTTTCTCCATTTAAACTTAAATGTGGGATTAATCTTGATCCAGGAATTGAGATGGAAGACTGCATGTTAAGACTACGATGAGCAGACAAGAAGCCTATTATAATAGTAGTATAAGCATTCAACCCAATTTTCGATACTTAGCTTAAGATGCTTCTAGGAATGGTAGCTATGTGGCATCGGGGAGAATCTCCGATAAAATGTGCGAACGCCACTTCAATCATGAAACTGCAAGTATGACCAAATGTCAATACACACACAGGACGGTAATGCAGACCAACACTAGTAAATTCTAACACTAACACTTTGCAAGCATTCCAACATACTTTTTAAATGATAATAATTAGTAAAACAAACGACACTAACAAGATTGCTGTAGCCCGAGCCACTAGAATGAATAATAACAACACGGGCAGTCGGCATCCATACACGGAATTCCGCGAGCCATTGTTTAAGGACTGTGCCAGGGCAAACAATAAGAACAGGCGCAAGACCATCAGAAATGCTAATGGAAGAAGAAAGAGAGTGTTTCATTTGCGAAATCGCCACGTCATAACTGCTATCCGATATAGGAAGTTTAGAATGATGCAGAGAAGCTAGAAAAACAATAATCTGGACGGTTTTTCCCAAGCCCATTTCATCACCAAGGATTCCACCGACGCCATGTCGATGGAGACCCCATAACCATGTAACTCCTTCACGTTGGTAGGGATAAAGGCGATTCCAAATATCAGCTGGAATTCGCAAACCCCCTTTCAGAATCTCGTCATTATCAGTCTCCACTGTACTTTCCTTTTCCAAACCAGCAAGTCGTTTGTGATAAGTTTTTAGATCACCATCATCAATGTCAGTCAGTTTACGACGAGGCGAGGATTTCGAAATATTGGAAACAGTGGGACGCTGAATACTGGCAAGAGATTCTTTATCGGAGGCGTTGGCAACTGTCTTGTTGTTCAAATCAATCGTTTCATCTGGTTTCAGAAGCATCTCAAGACATATTGCTTCACGTTTCCGAAGTGTAGTTAGAAGGTTTTTCTTTGTAGTAATCTCATTTTCAAGACTCCTAATACTTCTTTCAAGGCTCCGATTACACACATCTGCGACACTATCAAATGTAGCTGCCAGCGCATCCTCCAGCTTTTTTATTTCAGTTTCTTTAAGTCTTTAAAATTTAACAGATTCATATTAAAATTTAAGTATTACTGAATATCACGTCGAACATTATCAAGATTCTGTTCAATTTTTTCTTTAAAGTTGGACTTCTTTCTTAATGCCTCTTCAACCTGGGCATAAACACCAGCGTCAAGAACTGATTCATCATATACAGCAGCGACTTGAGAAATATCCCCCAAATCGGGCAGATTTGACGATTCAATCTTATTGCGATCGATCAACATCTTCAGCGGGACTTGTTAAGCACATATGGGCCAGAAAAGTAAACAAGCTAACACGATCCAAAATTATGACCTTTGGGACATGCATTATAATCCAATCGTTTTAAGGCATAGATTGCAATATGTTATAAAAGGTCACTTAGTATTATCTAGTCTTTCCGATGCATAAATAAAACACTTTTTGATTGTTTAATTAGAAAAATATCTTCTTGCTTAATAATTTCTATTTACTGATAAATAAGGCAATTGATAATTGAAGTTTTAGATTCTGCCATTCAAGATTCATTTTCCTTGAAATATTTCAAAACCGGTTTCAATGAGAAAATATATCAATGTGGGGATCATTATGCAACAAAGCATTATGTACCATAACTTAAAACTTGAATCTGTTGGAATAAAATTTCTTTTAAAGTCTAATATTGGGCAATTCTTTGCAAAAAAATATTGATTTCTAAACTTGATTCGAGGCACTTAATAAATATATTTGTTGCTTTTTAGTTCCATACTGTTTGCGAAAAATGAAAACATGACCTTTAAGAGTTTTGGAATAAAAGATTATTCGCCAATTCGAACAGTTTAATTAGCATTTGCACTTATAATTCGGCCCAAAGCATTCCAGATGGTTGCTCGTAATCTCCTTCCAGCTTCACGAAATTGTTAACCAGTTTATAAACTTTGGACATTCTTAAAGCTATGTGCATATCTCGACCAGTTTGACATAATCTAATAGACCAAAAGATATCACTTGAAATAATAGAGATTAACTATTGCCAACTATTATTTATTCGAAATCTCCTAAGTGTCTTCTATTTACTAATTGAGTGTAAGTCTGCTAAAAATAATCATGACAACATTCCTTTAAGCCAATTTCTGTCAACTTCGTTGGTAGCTATAATTTATACTGCGAAAGGGAGGGGTGAGCGATAGATTTGCCTCCACGTGGTGGACCTTGGACAACGTATACTCATACCGCAAAAAAGTCTATAAACCGGCAGTTGACTTGTCACTTTAAACTACCATGACTCGACTGTATGCCATATCCGACCTCATACACAGTACTCATCTTACCTTTACTCTGCCTTTGTGTCTGTCTGTCTCTTACATCTGTGAATCACTCTTCTGTTCCCCTTCACGAATATTTCGCACTATAATGATCCTCCCCTCTGTGAAGCCCGAAGTCAACTATAGGGCAAATGATAACTTTCAAAACGTCTGCCATTTTAAATAAATAAATAAATAATATGGGTAACGTGTACATGTAGAGAGCTTAAACTTAATCAGCATGGGGGTTTAGGTTAAACAAACAGAGGCTTCTGATTGGCCACTGGTTGTACGGTTATCTGCACAGAGAGTTGTACGACCGCA